CAGCAGCACTTGGATGTCTTGGTGGGAGCATTGATGTACCTCAAGCTACCCTAATGTTAGCTGGAGTGTGAAGACTGTACAATTATTTATTTAATTTCAAACTATTAAGGGGGTACAGACATTTATGTTACATGGGTATACTCTATAATGCTGAAGTCAGGGCCTTTCGTGTGCCTGCCACCAGGACAATGTTCATTGTACCCAATAGGTAAGTTTTTATCCCTCATCCCCTTCCCCTCCCCTGTTCTTAGTTTCCAGTGTCCTTCATGTCTTTTCGTGCCCATGGGCACCCAGCGTTTAGCTCCCATTTATTAGTGAGAACATGTGGTATTTGTTTTTCTATTCCTGAGATACTTTACTTAGGATAATGGTCTATAGTTCCATCCAAGTTGCTGCAAATGACATTATTTAATTTCTTTTTATGACCGAGCAATACTCTATGGTGTGTGTGTATATACATACACACATATATATACATACACACACACACACCACATTTTCTTTATATACTCATGTGTTGATAGGCACTTAGGTTGATTCCATAGCTCTGCAGTTGTGAATTGTGCTGTGATAAACATTCGAATGCAGGTGTCTTTTTGATAAAATGATTTCTTTTCTTTTGGGTACATACCCAGTAGTAGAATTGCTGAATTGATTGGTAGGTCTACTTTTAGCTCTTTGGGGAATCCCTATACTGTTTTCTATAGAGGTTTCTATAGACTACAAATATGGAGTCCCACCAACAGTGTATAAGCATACCTTTTTCTCTGCATCCATGCCAGCATTGTTTATTTATTTATTTATTTATTTTGACTTTCTAATTATGGCCATTCTGATAGGTGAAAAGTTGTATCTCATTGTGGTTTTAGTTTGCATTTCCCTAATAATTAGTGATGTTGAACATTTTTTTTCATGTCTGCTGGCCATTTGTCTATCTTCTTTTGAAAAAGTTCTATTCATGTTTTCTGCTCACTTTTAAAAATTAATTAATTAATTATTATTTTTTTTCAATTTCATCATCTTACGGGGGTACAAATGTTTAGGTTACATATTTTGCCTTTGTCCCACCTGAGTCAGAGCCTCAAGAGTGTCCATCCCCCAGACGGTGTGCACCGCACCCATTAGGTGTGAATATACCCATCCCCTCCTCCCCACTCCCACCTGCCTGACACCCAATGAATGTTACTACTATATGTGCACATAAGTGTTGATCAGTTCATACCAATTTGATGGTGACTACTTGTGGGGCTTGTTTTTCCATTCTTGTGATACTTCACTTAGTAGAATGGGCTCCAGCTCTATCCAGGGTTATACAAGAGGTGCTAGATCACCATTGTGTTTTGTGGCTGAGTAGGATTCCATGCTATGTATATCACATTTTATTAATCCACTCATGTATTTATGGACACTTGGGTTGTTTCCACATCTTTGCAATTGTAAATTGTGCTGCTGTGAATGAATGTTCTAGTGCAAATGTCTTTTTTATAGAATGCCTTTTTTTCCCTTTGGGTAGATGCCTAGTAATGGGATTGCTAGATCAAATGGTAGTTCTACTTATAGCTCTTTGAGGTATCTCTATATTACTTTCCACAGACATTGTACTTGTTTGCAGTCCCACCAGCAGTGTATGAGTGTTCCTATCTCTACGTATCCACACCAGCGTTTATTGTTTTGGGACTTTTTGATAAAAGCCATTCTCACTGGAGTTAAGTGATATCTCGTTGTGGTTTTGATTTGCATTTGCCTGATGATTAGAGATGTTGAGCAGTTTTTCTTGTGTTTCTTGGCCATTAGTCTATCTTCTTCTGAAAAGTTTCTGTTCATGTCCTTTGCTCACTTTTTAATGGGGTGGTTTGATTTTTTCTTGCTGATTTCCCTGAGTTCTATATAGATTCTAGTTGTCAGCCCTTTATCGGATGTGTAGCATGCAAATATTTTCTCCCATTCTGTAGGTTGTCTGTTTGCCCTTGTGGTAGTTTCCTTGGCTGTGCAGAAGCTTTTTAATTTGATCAGGTCCAACTCATTTATTTATTTTTGTTGCTGTGATTGCCTTTGGGGTCTTCTTCATAAATTCTTTCTGTAGGCAATGTCTGTAAAAGTTTTTCCAGCGAGTTGTTTAATTTCTTTCTTGGTGTTTTGAGTTCTTTGTAGAGTGTGGAAATCAGTCCTGTGTCTAATATATAGTTTGCAAATATTTTCTCCCATTCTTTAGGTTGTGTATTCACTCTGTTAATTATTTCCTTTGCTGTGCAGAAGCTTTTTAATTTAATTAAGTCCCATTTATTTCTTTTTGTTGTTGTTGTATTTGCCTTTGGGTCTCAGCCATAAATTATTTGCCCAGGCCAATGTCTAGAAGAGTTTTACCTTTATTTTCTTAATTTTTTATGTTCATGCATTGTATTTATGTCTTTAATCCATCTTGAATTAATTTTTGTGAGTGGTGAGAGCTAGGGATCCTGTTTCATTTTTCTTTCCAGCACCTTTTATAGAATAGGACATCTTTCCCCAGTGTATGTTTTTGTCTGCTTTGTCAAAGATCAACTGGTCGTAGCTACATAGTTTTGTTTTTGGGTTCTCTATTCTGTTCCATTGATCTATGTGTCTACCTTTATACCAGCACCAAGCTGTTTTGTTTACTATAGCCTTGTAATGTACTTTGAAATCAGATAATGTGATGCTTCCAGATTTGTTCTTTTTGCTTAAGAT